TCAAAAAATATAAATTTTAAAGAATTGTAATTTATTTAACAACTTTATAATTTTTACAAATGATAACTAAGACTTGTGAATTTGAAAAAGAATAAATCAGTCTCTTTACCTCATCACAGAAATTAGGAAAAATCGACAAATCTTAAGGATGTTTTCCGACTGCAGTTGTGCTCAACCTAAAGTTTACTCGCATCCACGCAGTCGCTCCCATACAGAAAATATTAGTTGAATATAAGTATAAAAATATAAGTATATAGTGTTTGACTGTGTTCCGTTGCTGGCAAGAAGACTAGAACTAGGAGAGTCAACTCGTGCCAATAGCGGAATCAGTGCCTTGATTGGTTACATACCTCGCTCGCGCATGTGCAGTTCATTTTTATCCACGCTGACATCAAAGGTGCCGACATAGAGTTGCGCTACTGTATATACTGTGCTTATATCGAACTTTCACACAATGCGCAGTGCCGCTGCACATCGTGTGAATAGCCGCGGACGTTTTTTGACTCACTCCCACCACGCGAGTTGATCCTCCTTAGTTCTAGTCTTCTTGGATGGAACAGACGGAGCAATACGGAATACGGGTGCTTTTGGGCTTTTGGGACTCCTATATATCTTAGCGACTAACCGTTCCAAATTAGAAGGGACAATCTCAAATTTTAACACTATGTCCCGCTTTACAACGCGTTCCAAATTATAATATAAATTAAAATGTAATACAATTTGTATTTATACGTGTATAGTTACATATAGATATGTTTTATTTTATAATACTGTATATTAACACGTTATTACATACATATATTTTATTTTTATTGTATTAATTCAATATGCGTTGTAATTATGTTTTTTATTACGTATAATTTTTTTATAAGAATGGCAAGGTTTTTTGGCAGTTTCTCTTATCCTTTACAACAAATGTTGGTATTCATAAATCGGCTGCAGACGTAATAAAAAACAAATTTATTATTATTCATGAACACATTATGTTTCTTTAATAAAAAACTTCCTTTTCTCCCTACAACTTTTTTAACATCGTTATTAGGGGTCTTAAGGCCATCACACGTACAAAAATTTTAGTCGTAAGGCCGTAAGCAAATCGGCCAATTACAGTCGAGCGTTTTTAAATGCGAGATCGTAATTTTGATTGTGATTGGTCGATTTACTTGCGACCTTACGATTACGACTAAAATTTTTGTACGTGTGATGGCCTTTATGCGGGGTCTACAATAGAAGTCGTAACGATCGTAGGGTCCTAAGTGGTAGAAAATTGATCAATCATAGTTGATTATTCTTCTCATATTCGACTGTAATTGGTCAATTTTCTACAACTTAAAACCCTATGACTGCTATGACTTCTATTGTAGACCCCGCATTATAGTACCATGAAATGTATACGTCAGTTAAGGCTGCTCAGCTTTACGCATGCGCACAAAGTTTCCTAGAGCAGACTTTCCATCACTTTCCATCACTGTAATCATTAGGGGCTCCGCACAATAAAAGGAACAGGGAACAGAGAACAGAGAATAAGAATTTCAACCTATCAGAAACTGTGTATTTTACAATACATAATTTCTGATAGGTTGAAATTCTTATTCTCTGTTCTCTGTTCCCTGTTCCTTTTATTGTGCGGAGCCCCTTACATAATAGGCCTGTTGCGGGATTCTCTAAACGTTTTATCGACAAATGCCACTATTGTTAACTAGCGACAACCAATGAGAACTGCTCTTTCTTCCAGGATTGTACCGCCATTGGCTGTCGCTAGTTAATGATAGCGACAATTATCGATAAATCTGGATCTACAATAGGTGTTTTAAGCCTTAAGCCATAAGAAATTGATCAATTACTTTTATTGACTTTTATTAATCAATAACTTTTGCCGCGCGGCGGAAGTAGTATTACATTATTTCTAAAAGTTTTGCAAGGTGAGGCTGACTTAAGAACATAGAATTATTGATTAGTGCTACAACTTCGGAGTTTCGCAAGCGTTGCCGCGTTCTGTGTGCAGGAGCCATTACACCATTGCCCGTATCGTCCAGCTGATTGGTTGCTGCTTCCGCTGCTTGACGCTTGCATGTGAATGCACCTTTATGTATGAGATTCAAACTTCTGCGCAGTAATCAGTAGTAATCTTCTGCGCAGATACTCGACGCTTGCATGTAATGGCACTTTTATGTATTTCCATCATGGCAGCAGCATAGGCTTTGGGAGCGTTTATATTCGCCGTAACTGTATGCCGTAACCTGTAAAGCCTGATTTATAATGGCCGTAACCGTTAACTAATGCCGGTGCCGGTAAAATTCAACCATAGGATTTCAATGCTTTCGTTCATACTAATACGGCAAGTTAGTATGAACGAAATTGAAATCCTATGGTTGAACTTTACCGGAATAAGTTAACGGTTACGGCCATTATAAATCAGGCTTAAAACCGAAGACACAATGCGAGGGAATAGCGATAGGAATAACATGGGCTGCGTTCAGCAGACTCAACAGTTTTGCAACCGTTTTATGATTGTCTGCTGAGATAGGACCATTCTTCTAGATCTAAAAGTATGATCCAATTAGCGCGAAGGAAACTTACAACAGTTGCAAAACAAACGTTCTGCTGAACGCACCCATGATTTCAACTTATCAGAAACTGTATATTCCGATATATCCGATTTCTGATAGGAAATCATGTTATTCCTATCGCTATCGCTATTCCCTCGCATTGTGTTTTGGGCTTAAGAATTGACTAATCACATAGCGTTTTTCATTAGCAGAAATAGTGCGCATTCAGTGCATTTTAAAGTCGTTGTATAAAAATCGATGTAAAGATGTACGTTTAATAAAAATATCGAAATGAATTAAGCCCGTATCAGACTACCAACTCTGCAGGCTGACCCGACTGCCAACTCTGACTGCCGATCAATAATGGACCAATCACAATAAGACTGATTCAATGTGATTGGTCCATTATTGGTCAACAGCCAGAGTTGGCAGTCTGGTCGGCTTGCAGAGTTGGTAGTCTGATACGGGCTTTAGGCTGCGGTTCACTTGACGCTACAAACGCTTTGAAGCGTTTGAGCGACCAATCAGAACAAAGAATTTTACGAATTGACTAATCAAAGAATGCTTCGAAGCGTTTGTAGCGTTAAATGGACCGCAGCCTCAAATCGCTAAATATTCAATACATTTTATTGTGATATTTGATAAAATACACATTGGACACTTTATCAATCGAGATATCTAATGGTGAATTCGATCACTCCCACTACACTGGATCAGTGCATATTAAAAGCTGGTTTATATAAAAATATCTCAATGCAGTGATACAATATAATCAACTTTGACAATAAAATGATACATATATATTTTGTTAAATAACGTGATAATATTATTTAATCATTAGTAGATAGTTAATCGTTTAAAATATTTATATACTTTTACACTTAACTTTGTTAATTTCATGTAAAGCAGCTTTTAGTATGCACTGATCTAGTGTAGTGCAAGTGACCGAATTCGCTATTACTTTTATATTTAAAATAGTATAAAACAGCTTTAACGTGCACTGAGTGCGCACTAGTTTTGCCAATGAAAAACGCTAACAGTCAAATATTCCCCTCTCATTCGATGATAAGAAGGGAATACCCGAAGGTGATTGGTCAATTTTTAGCTCTGATGGAATATGCCAATCAGATGCAAGCGCTCACTGAGCGCTCAGTGAGCGGCTGTAGTACTGAATGCACCCGATGAGTGCACTCAGTAACTTTTTTAGTTGCTATCAGCTGACTAACGGCCTAGCGCCAGTGACGTTGTTTCGCGCCAACGAAAGTAAACGAGAGTTAAAAAGGCGGGCTGAAAGGGAATGGCAATCAGGTAATAGTGACGACTCTGGGATCATTAGCCTAAAAAATTGTGACGGGACAGATCGTGGAGCTTCTATCCCCCGCAAAGACTATCACGGCTCATCACGGGATTTTTGGATCCAAAATCATCGCATGGTACTGTGACCCTTTACATTGAGATCGGAAAATCAAACGGGGAAATCAGAAGAAGAAAAAGGCGGGCTTTGGTAGGGTCACATTGGGGGTAACGACTAAAGATAGAACGATACGTTGTGATACATTTGCGAAAATAACAACTTGTTCGCGTTTGCGATCAACATACGTAACAGAGACTATGTCGCAACCATCAGTAACGGCATATTTTAATACGCGCAAACGGCAGGGGTGCGACGAATTACGTGCCAAGTCGAAGATTTTACTGCTGGAGCGAGATA